GTGGCAATTGTAGCGTTCACTTCATTTCTTTCCTTTTTCTCAGGGATCAGGGTCCTGCACTGCCTGTTGTCCAGTATCTGAAAACAGTTCCATATATTTTGTCCAGTGTTCTAGCTATTTACCATGGGAGGTTAAATCCAGTCCTTATCACTGTATCATGGATGACAGTGGAAGTTTCTGTCACTTTATTTCATGTGTCTCTTATAATCAGCGTATGCTTAAATTGTGTGAGGAATTTTTATAGCGAGTTTAAACCACTTTTTATATATATTATGGATATGCAGCCTCCTGTCAGCTTAAGCCCTTCAGGGAATATTTTTTTCCAATATTTAATTCAACAGAGACTACTGAACACTTATCATTGCCATGCACTATTCTAGGTGCTACAGATATAGCAGGGCACAAACTTACATAAATTACTGCCCTAGCATAGCTTACGTTGGGATGAGAGACAATAGATAAGTCAGTAAAATATAGACTATTAGTTAGATGGTGATAGGCACCTTTTAGAAAGTAAAGGAGAAAAGTACATAAGGAAGTTGAGTGAGCGTTTGACAATTTACATGTTTTGAAATAGAAATTCCATTTCCAGTACAATGAATCTCCTGAATCTTCTCTTTCTCTATGCCTCTTCTAATATTTATTTAAAAATGAGAAAGGATTTATAAAAAAAGAAGGCCATATTGGAGGCTTGTATCCACTGCTACTCATAGCATCCAGTGTGCCCACCTAGAAAATAAAACGAATACAGGAAAAATGTAGTTTGAGGACCAAAGAAGTATCTTGGACATCCAACCAAGAGTGTATACTGACCTTCCAACAGAGGTGAGCACACAAACCATGCTCGCTAAAAGGGGTGAACCCCACTTTTTTAGAAAAACCTGCTGATGATATCACACAGTAACTAGAGTTTTTAATTCTAAATTTAAAAATTCTTATCAGACATCAGTTTTATTCAAAATCATTTGAACAGTTAAGAAAAATGAAAATTACCTCTTACACATAAATCTAAATTTTAGTTAAAATCTGCAAGATATGCTCATAAAACACTTTTTAATTAAGCCACTAATTATATTTGTATTTCCTAATGCATGTTTTTCATTTTGATAACATGCAGGCACTATGGAAAACAGTATGGAGGTACCTCAAAAAATTGAAAATGGAACTACCTTATGACCAAGCAATTCCACTCCTGGGTATCTATCCAAAAGAATTCCAAACACTAATTCGAAAAATACATGCACCCTTATGTTCACTGTAGCACTATTCATAATAGCCAAGATATGGAAACAACCGAAATGCCCATCAATAGACAAAAGAAACTGTGGTACATTTTATACAATGGAGTGTTACTCGGCCATAAAAAAGAATGAAATCTTACCATTTGAAACATAGATGGACCTAGAGAACATTATGCTAGGTGAAATAAGTCAGACTAAGAAAGATAAATACCATATGATCTCACTTGTATGTAGAATCTAAAGAACAGAATAAGTGAGCAAAATAAACAGAAATAGACTCACAGATAACAGAGAAAAAACATGGTTGCTAGATGGGACAGGGACAGGGATGGGGGAAGATTCTGAAGGGATTAGAAAGTGCAAATTAATAGTCATACTGTAGTCATGAGGATGTGAAATACAGTACGGGGAGTATAAATAATAATGTTGTAAAGATTATGTAGGGTGCCAGATGGGCACTGAACTTATCAGGGGGACCACTTCCTTGTAGACTGTGTGGATGCCTGACCAATATGCTATACATCTGAAAATGAAGTAGAATAATATTGAATGTCAACTATAATTAAATATATATACAGTTGTGTGTACCAATTCTTTATTAGTCTATTGATGGACACTTAGGTTACTTACTTCCATATCTTGGCTATTGTAAATAATGCTGCAGTGAACATAGGGGTACGTATGTCTTTTCAAATTAGTGTTTTGGATTTTTTTTAGATAAATACCCAGAAGTGGAATTGCTGGATCATATGGTAGTTCTATTTTTAATTTTTTGAGGACCCTCCATACTGTTATCTATAGCGGCTGCACCAATTTGTAATCCTACCAACAGTGCATAAGGGTTCCCTTTTTTCCACGGCATTGCCAATACTTTTTAATTTACTGATGATAGCCATTCTGACAGGTGTGAGGTGGTATTTCATTGGGGTTTTAATATGCATTTCTCTGATAATTAGTGATACTGAGCATCTTTTCATGTGTCTATTGGCCATCTGTATGTCCTCTTTGGAGAAATGCCTGTTCAGTTCCTCTGCCCATTTTTTAATTGGATTGTTTGGGGGGTTTTTGGTGTAAATTTACATGACTTCCTTATGTATTTTGTATATTAACTCCTTATTGGATGTATCATTGGCGAATATCTTCTCCCATTCAGTAGGTTTTTTTGTTTTGTTGATGGTTTCCTTCACCGTGCAAAAACTTTTTAGTTTGATGTAGTCCCATTTCCGAATATTTTCTTTGGTTTCCCTTGCCCGAGGAGACATATCCAAAAAGATACTACAAAGTGCTGTTAAAGAGTTCACGGCCTGTATTTTTTTTTTTTTAAGTTTATTGGAGTAACAATTGTTAGTAAAGTTACATAGGTTTCAGGTGTACAATTCTGTAATACATCATTTGTATATCACACCCAGTCAGTTCTCTTTCCATCACTATATATTTGATTCCCTTTACCCTCATCTACCACTCCTCTCCCCCCCAATGCCTGTATTTTCTTCTAGGCGTTTTATGGTTTCAGGTCATACATTTAAGTCTTTAATCCATTTTGAGTTTATTTTTGTATATAGTGTAAGAAACTAATTCATTCATTTTTTTTACATGTGTTTTTCAGTTTTTCCCAACACCATTTATTAAAGTGACCGTCCTTACCCCATCATATATTCTTGCCTTCTTTGTCATAGATTAATCCATATAGGTGTGGGTTTATTTCTGGGCTCTCTATTCTGTTCCATTGATCTATGTGTCTGTTTTTATGCCAATAAAAAAGACAGACATTTTTATAAAATATGAAAAATAATAGTTAAGGATGCTTTAACAAATCACACCCCCATAATTCTGATATGTTGCTTCCACAGGAGGGTGTGGGCATGTGGAGTGTTGAGACTCCTGGTTGACAGTCACTGAAGTCGATACCCATCTCTTGCTTAATTTTTTTCTTGGTTTTTAAAGTGTCTAATTCTAACAAAACTAAAGCTATCAAGGTTTATTATCTAAAATGTATGTAAATTAAAAATTCCTATGTGAATTCTATATGATATTTGACCCATTAGGTTTAATGTTAAGATGTATCTGGTGTCTAACACATTTTAAAAATTGCTTTACCTTCCTTTATTGCTCTTTACCCATGCATAAACACCTACTTTTAATTGTTATCTACATTTTTCATCCAGTAATAGAATTTAGTTATGTATCAATCATTAAGCAACCTTGACTCATGTGATTCACTTGGTACAGTTAGAAGATTGTGCCAGCAAAGTGTGATTTCCTTATAAAGAAAACTGGGAAAGGAAGTATCAGGACAGCAGGGTAATAAAAAGTGACATATTGGTGTCACATCTTTGATCATATTTTTCTAAAATCATTTAGCCTTTCTATGTGTAAAGAGATACAGATTTTTTGCCAAGGTGTGTGTCCAAGAAATGTCTTCTATTTTCTCTAAATCAAGTTGAATCTGCTTCAAGCCCCATCCTGTGGTGGCAAGTTAAATCTTAGTCATCCTGGTACTTTACATCCTCTCTCAGAAGGACCTTAAAGAGTCTTATATAGAAAGAACACTCAGGAAAGACTTCTCTGGTCCTTACCACCATGGTTCTTTGTAGTGAGGATGCATAGTAGTGTTTTCGAGGACAGGAATCTTGCTTGGTCTGGGAGCCCCTGGAGCTGGGATCCTGCTTCTCTGGATGTACCATAGCTGCTTCCTTCTCAGGTTTAACTATCCCCTAGATGGTTAGGGGAGAAAGGTGCAGGTCTCCATCTCTTGGGAATCCACAGCCTTTGGTCCCTTTCTAAAGTTGTGGATAATCTCCTTGTCCTTTTGGATCTTTTCACTTCTGCTTCTCTTTTAGAGGCCTAGTTTTGTCTTTCTCCTCAATTCAGAACATAATGCCCTCTTTACAAGGAAACCTTGGAGGGAAAGTTGTCTTCAGGGGATCTGGCACCAAAATCTTCCCTGAGGTAAGGCAACACAAAGGCTTGTCTATATCTTCCTTGAACCAGGAGTGGGGACACTCAAGGAGAGCAAAACTCAAATGAGTATCACAATAGATTCACTTGCATAATATTTGACACATAATACTTCACATGATGATGGTATTAAAATAGTAGGAAAGTTCTTTAGTCCTTTAAGTGTATTTGGAAAGTTTTACAAAATATTTTTGTCATTCCCTAATGTTGTGTTGTCTTATGTATATATTTGATACCAATATTATCATCATCTATGGAGTTAACCTTTCAAGTGAACAAAGCCCGCCCTTCATCTCCTTTCAATTCTAACCTTGTAGCAAGTAGAGGCGAGAGGCCTGAATTCTTTCTCCATGCCATGGAGGATAGCAATGGAGAGTTGTTCCCTAGATAATCTAGAATGGTGGTTTCTAACCTGAATTCCCAGTGGACTTGAAATTGTCCAAAGGAGGACAAGATGCAGAAGAAAAGTGAGACCAAGTGTGCAGGGCTGCAGGGACACCCCCCTCCCAATCCCCATTTCATTCATACTAGTTGTCCCTTTTCACTTGCTTTATGTATTGAATTCCACATAAAATTCTGTTTTAATGAAAGACTCCATTGTTTTAAAAATGTGGAAATCACTGAAGGTTATATGCAAGTATATACCTACAACATTTGAAATTCCCCAGTATTTTGAATTAAAGGTCTTTCTTTTTCAATAGTGTAATTCTATGGTATGAAAAATGAACCTTCCCCTTAAAATAGTCTGTTGCTTAATTACCATTTGCATGTGAAAATTCCCAAATGATAGGGCCAGCCAAGTTTGAGGGATAGTATAATTTATTTCAACTCTCAATTCCTTTTCTGGTTAATAGAATATCCATCGTGGATGGTTGTTGATACAAATCCTGCTGCTTGATATACACTCCTCTGTTCACTATACAGAACAATATAGTTCACAGAAAGCATTATATAACTCCAACCCAAGTACTGAATTATTTTCTCACTTAACCAGAATTTTAAAAATTAACTCTTTATTGATATTTCATGATTATACTGATCATCATATACATTTATATCTGCTGATTGTTTTTGTTGTTATTAAACAAATTACTTGACTTTAATAAATTATTATTTGGACGGTTACAGAATTCAATTCAAACAGTAACTAAAAACAATTTTTAAATGGTTAACTTCATTATTTTATGTCTAGCCAAATAACATGTATGCTATGATATTCATTAGAATTAAAGTTTCCATGACACAAGTTTAAATCAAATATTCATATTAAATATTTTGTAATTACATTTTTTATATTAGGATACTAATCTTTTGCTTGCTAAAAACATATGTGACACTGAAACAGTTTTACTCAACTATTTTTAGTAATATATATAATGTTGTGGCTTTCAGAACAGTTACTTTTTCTATTCTAATCTGCTACTATTTATCCTAGTATATCAACTTAATATGTAGTGTCTATTGTGCAGTGTAAACAATTTTTATTTCTATTAGTATCGAATACTAAAATTAGAATATTCAAGTTTAGAGATGGTTTTTTCATTAGAAAAGTTTGTGCGGTCAATGCGAGAACTAGGACTTCCAACCTTGCTCAGCCAGGACTTCCTACAAAAAAGATAAATAAAAATTAGCATGTAAAGTAAATATAGACTAGCTCTCTAGCTAAAATGATCCCACAATAGGTAACAATGGGAGTTTACTTTTACTAACTTTTGCATATAATGTGAAATATGAATTTTTACATTGTGTATATATATATATATATATATCATGTATGTATAAGAATAAAACAATTTAATTAAATATGGATAAAGAAAAGCTAATAACAAATTAAGCATAGTCAACTACTGATGATTTCATATTGGAGTTATTTCCCTCCTCTTAAAACGTCCAAGGCCATTATTACCTAGCTCTTGTATACAAAAAGATTAAAATACTTTTACAAAGAGGTAAGTCATAAAAATAATTCATCATTGTTTTCTTTCATTACCCAGCACATGTTAGATGTATGTGTGTGTGTGTGTGTGTGTGTGTGTGTGTGTGTGTGTGTGTAAGGAAGAATGGATGAAAGAATAAAGAATAAATGTGATTTTCCATAAACATTAAAATTAGATGAACATTTTTATCTATTCAAAAACCATTTTTTACCATATACATCAGCAAAGTGTTTGCATTAAAGGGACAAGTTAAATGTTCTGAAACTTTCTGATGACATAGTGCAATGGTTTTTCTTTATTGGCGATATCTATGTGTCTAATTTATGCATTTGGGTACTTACCTGAGATGCTTCCTATATAATTCAGGCTTATTGTAATATAGTTGAAAGCTCAGATAATACTATTAAGGATTTTCCAGAATCTTTCTACCCATTAATAATTAGTTGCGATAACAGATGAAGTGGGACTACAGGTTAATTGTGTGAGTCCACTTTGTACAAGTGATGGCAGTTATCCCAGCTGCTGTTGTGGAAACATTCATGACTTCCCTCATATTCCCAAAGTTCTTTCAGGTTGTAAAACTAGTGCTGTGTACAGCTGTGCATTATCATATACAACAATCTCATAAAACCTTGAATTAAAAATATCTTCTAGGCTAAAGTTGTCTGATTTTCTGAAAATTACTCCTAGGCTAGAGAAGAATTCTAATGATTCAAATTGCCATTGTGCTATGCGACACTTTCTTTGGTTCTTATTTGTGACAGTTTTACTGGGAAAGGTGAGTTTTCACTTTTCTTCTTTTTCAGAAACTAAGCCATGAGTGAAGTAGCACATTTTCTTTTATTCAACTCATTTATTTGAAATCTTAAAAATGGAAATTGGATGTGATGAATAAAATTTAATTATTTTGAAAAGGAGCTGATGGCTTCAATTTTGTAAGTCAAATCTCCTTGATATCTTCTAGAGACAAAGGCCAGAAACAGAAGCTAACATTTATTGCACACTGCGTGCTCAGCACTGTGCTAAGTTCTTTACATGTACTATTTCTTTCAGTCCACACACTAACCTTGTCAGTTATAGGCCATTATTACTCCTAAATTATTATTATTTATTTATTTTTTTTAAAGATTTTTATTGGGGAATTGGGGGATGGGAACAGTGCTGGGGAATTGGGGGAAGGGGAACAGACAAGTTGCTGTCGTTTTGTTCTTCAATCTAGTTGTGGAGGACGTTGCTTCACTGGCCCAAGTTGGCACCATCATTACGCTCTTCCCAGGTGAGGCAGATCAATCGCTGGCTTCTGGACGGCCACTCACTGCGGCTGCTGGCTACATACTGTAGCCCATGGCAACCCACTGTCACAGGGGCTGCAGCCTACGCCGTCGCCACCCGGCTCCAGGTTGAGCTGTTGTTCAGCATCTTAGCTGTGGAGGGCAGTGTCACTGGCCCTCATATGTGGGATCCGAACCGGGGCCCTCTGGCGTCTCAAGCCAGTTCTTAACCATCGTGCCACTCGGCCAGCCCACTCCTAAATTATTGATGAGGGAACGTGCCCAGGGTAGCAGCAGTGGTGGTAGTGACATGTGGTCAGATTCTGGATATATTTTGAAGGTATAGTACAAAGATTTACTGACAGACTGGTTGTGGGTGTGAGAAAGAGAGGACTAAAGGATGACACCAGGGATATTGGGTTGAAAACCTACTGGGACAGTGTTGTCATTTATGAAATGGAGGGGCTGTCAGAAGAGCAGATTTGGAGGAAAGATCAGAAATTCAGTTTTGGAGTGTTAAATTTGAGATGTCTATTAGACATCTAAATGAGATGTTGAGTATGCAGTTGGATTTGAGTCTCGCTGGAGGAGGTAACATTTGGAATCTGTCTGCAGATAGACAGTATTGAAAGCCATAAGACTGGATGGGATCACCATAAAAATGAATGTAGATAGAAAAGGGAAGAGGTCCAAGGACTGTCTCTGAGGGCACTCCAGCGTAAAGAGCTCAGGTAGCAGAGGAAGAACCAGCAGAGGAGGAGAAGGCATCCAGTGAGGTGGGAGAAATACTGGGAGAGCATCTGTCCTGAGAGTCAAATGACGCCCTCGGGGAACAGAGGCGTCAAGTGGGTCAATGCTGCTTTGCAAGTCAAGTACAGTGAGGACTGAGAATGGATCATTGCATTTAGCAACACAGAGGTCACTGATGACCTTGACAGAGCAGTTGTGGTGGAGTGAAAGCCATGATTGAATATGCTCAGGAGAGAATGAGGAAAGAGGAAACGGAACCAGTGGACCCAGGACTAGGACTAGTGGGAAGAGGAGCTGCAATGGACTAATCCATTGCTGATAGCTCACTGTATTTAACTAGTTTTCCACACTATCAAGAACTTCTTCACCGGCCAGACTTATGGCCAAGGAGGAATCTGTGCCACGGTAGGGGCCGAATGGTCATGCTGTTAGGTGATTCAGCTCCATTTACTCTGTGTGTGTCCGGGGGACGGCCACTTTGTGCCATGGCTCCACATGTGACCCTCCTGTTGCTAGGAACCATCTTGCCTGACCTGCCAATTCACTTGGGAGCGTTCTGGTCACCTAAGACCTTACTCTTCATGTGCTGCTCTTATAGTCAGCCCTTTATAGGTGTGGCTCAGGTCTGGAGATGGCAGAACTAACAGCTCTCCTAGCCAAAAAAATAACTAGTCACAAATTAGTGAGGATGGGATATATACAGAGGGTGCCAAAAAAAGCATACACATTTTAAGAAAGGAAAAAACTGTATTAAAATTGTATTCATTTGTTATAGGTCTATATTGAGCATTACAAGTCATGTGTATGCATTTTTTGGCAACCCCAGTATATATAATATCACCCCCTGTTAGTGTGAAAAAGAACCACGTAATCAAACAGTATCAGTTAATTCAATTACATATTTAGGTAGTCTAGATATTAGAGTACATACATAGACACTTAAAATGGGGTTTCTTCCCTCAGTAACTTACAATCTAATAGCAGAGTTTGGAGTATAGTAAAAATAACCATAACATAAGGCAGGGTGTGATGTGCAATGTGATTTTTATATAAAGGGATGGAGGAATTGGGGGCTAACTCTAGTCAGTGTATTCAGGGACACCTTTGTGATGGCAATAGCATGTGAGCTAAGTTTTAAAGAAAATACTATTGAATTTTTCAAAACTTAGAATGAGGAGTGCTAATTAAAGCATGACAGGAAACCAAGAAGCATAGGAAAATATTGATAACATTAACTAATTAAAAATGTAAAACTTTTGGACTGGCCAAGTGACGTGGTGGTTAAGAGCTGGCTTGGGATGCCAGAGAGCCCCAGTTCGGATCCCACATATGAGGGCCAGTGACACTGCCCTCTACAGCTAAGATGCTGAACAACAGCTCAACCTGGAGCTGGGCTGCCGTGAGTT